GACAGAATTGGGGTAGAGCAGAATAAAATCAGGAGCTCAGAATAATGGAATTACTGCGAGATGTAGAAAAGAGCAAGTGGACGGAGCACACTCCCGGAGCCCGGCTTTAACCCCTGGCACGGTGTTGCTGGCAGAAGAAATACAAGATATTGGTGCTAGGATTGACCACTTTGAAAATTGCCTGCTGACATTTAAGGGTTGTGCTTTAAGGTGTCCGCAGAGTGGGAAATGTCGTTGCCTAAGGGGAACACAGGAATTCTTATCCAGCTGTTAGAAGGGAAAGGTAAATGTGAGAATGCAAGATTTGCCTCCAGCCATCGCCTTACGCTCATGAGAGGTATTTTATTAAAGGCTTCTGCTGGAAGATTGTGTTAGGGGGAAACGCAAATGTTCTGCGAAGAGGAGCTTGTTTCACCGCAGGCGTGGTAAGACCGAAACAGAGTTTTAATGATTTTCTTAAAAAGCAGAAAAATCTTTATCAAAATGACTCCTAGCAACCTGTTCTTTTTCTTTTTCCTCATAAGGGACGCTTGAGGTTGAAACCCGAACGATGCGTTACACTTGATGACCATTAATTTCTTTGCAGGTGCAGGAACGGGAAGCAGGAGCCGGAATCAAAATTTTGAATTTCCTACCAGAACGTGGTGTCCCCAGAGCTGGAGTTGCCTTGCCAACCTCTCCTTTTGCTTTTGTCTTATCGCAGGCTGGGATAAACATTCTTATGGGTACCACGGGGACGACGGGCACTCCTTCTGTTCTTCGGGGACAGGACAGCCCTACGGCCCGACGTTCACCACGGGAGACGTGATCGGCTGCTGCGTCAACCTTATCAACAATACCTGCTTTTACACAAAAAATGGCCACAGCCTAGGTGAGGCGTTCTCAGGAGAGAACAGCTCCCGCTTTTTAATATTTTGCATGTGTTGGAACTATTGTCCCACGTTTGTGGGTAAGATTTAAAAAACTGGGGGGGAAAGGAGCGCTAAGCAGCAGGCAGGAGATGTAAATTGGCTCCCAGACATAAATACTGCCAGCATGTAAAATGATTTTCATCCCGCTCCAGTTGCTGAAGTAGGTTAGAACTCCATCTCCAGTTTTGACTCTTTTCTTCTGCTCCTGCACAGCTGGTGGGAGGTTGGATAAGGTAGCTAACGGGGCAGATAAAGAGGTGAGAAGTTTAATTAGTGTGTTATGCCACTGCCTACACAGCCAGTGTATCAGTCATTTTGCTTTTCAAAGGGATTTGCCCATCTCTCAGCCTTAACACGCTGGCCCAAGCGTTCCCGAAACGAGACATTAATTCAGCCTAAGAAGTCTTACTTAAGCGCTGACCTGTCGTTTGGTTCTTTCCACAGTTGTTTCAGTAGTTCCTCTAAAGTTAAGGACTTAAAAATTAAGGACTAAAAATTTTGCCCAAAGGAATATCTCAAAGATGTTTTCCAGGCATTTTCTTTTTTTTTTAAATAGAAAGTTGTGGCTAGTTTTGCCTAAAATGTCTTTCCCTCAGATGACACATTCTCCCGCCCAGATAAATTTGTCACTTTTTTTTTTTTAATTGTTGCATAAGACACGCAGTATATTTCGATAAGTTTTGCAGGGACAAGCACTCCTTTCCTTTGCTTCTCCTCGCTGTGTCAAGTCGGCTTTGTTGGATTCAAGCTGAGGAAGCTGGTAGGGAAATACCCTACTCAAAACCACTTAGCAGAAGAAAAGTTGATTTGAGTTACGAAGGAGCAGGACTGGAACGCGGCATGTGCCTGGAGGGTGCAGAATTTCTGGTGAACTCTTGGCAGAAGCGCTGGGCTCCCCAGTATCAGAGGTGGACGTACTGGAGAGAGTCCAGCAAAGGGCTGTCGAGGTGGCGGAGGGGCTGGAGGAAACCTCCAAGGAGGAAAGGCTGAGAGAGCTGGGGCTGGTCAGGCTGGTGAAGAGAAGGCTCGGAGCAGGGATCTCATCCGTACGTGAGGGGAGGGTGCAGAGCGCACAGAACCAGCCTCGTCCCAGTGGAGCCCAGTGCCCGCACCAGAGGCAGCGAGCACAAACCAGAACACGGGAGGTTCTCCCTGACCGTCAGGAGTCGCTTTTGCACTGTGAGGGTGACCAAGCACCGGCACAGGTTGCCCAGAGAAGCTGTGGAGTCTCCATCCTTGCAGGTATTCAGAAGTTGTCTGGGCACGGTCCTGGGCTGCCAGCTCTGGGTGGCCCTGCTCAAGCAGAGGGGTCTCACTAGATGACACTTTTCCTCTGGCTGTTTTCCTCTGAGTGGGTGGTTTTTCAATTTCACCACTTTTCAGCCTGGCAAGGCTGTTACTTTTCATCACAAAGAAAGCGTAACGGTCGGGAAGAGGCCAGGTCTTCTGTTTAATGAATACACATTTATTCGTTTGGAATTTAATATCGGGACTCCGCACAGTAGAAGGGGTGTAGGTTGAAAAGTTGTCCCTTGCTCTGTCTGGGATTTCCCAGGGCCATGTTGTGTCTGGGTGCTCGAGCAGATGAAGCCAAACAAAGAGCACAGCTCAGTAATTTCTGTATCACATTCCATCATTACTGTCCACTAATTCCTTGCCTCGTGTCCTGCTCAGAGATTTATTTTGTTTGGGACATTTGGAGGTGTTTTACAGCAATGAAGCCACCTGGTCTTCCTTTTTTGGTCTTCCTTTTCCTTCAAAGATGGGTTTTTTGGAGTGGAAAGCTTATGCTTTCTAACCTGGCATTGAGTGATCCCGTAGGGAGCAGCCTACCCCAGAGGTGAACGGCGCCAGCGGGAAGAAACAGGAAAGGAAGGAAATTAAATTACACCATGCTCAGAGAACGGCGGTAGGTATCAGCATGGCTGTCTCTTGGGTATCCTCCTCTTGGAGGATGTGGTGCAAGACATGAGATGTATGAGAAAATCGTAAGTAGGAGACTCTCCTGAGCATTTGCAGCTGGCTCATTCATGTCCCAACTTCATGGCTGGACTCAGAGAAGAGAGATGATGTGGTCAGAGGAGACGAGCGCTGGAAGCCCTAGGAAGTAGGAGACCATCAGTCGTCGCTGGGCTGACCCCCACAAAAGCTGTTGGAATGTTTTACCATCTTTTTTCAAAAGCAGAATGCAGACCTCAGCCGGGAGGGCTGTTGTTGAGAGCCAGAGATGTCTGTGCCCCTGGTACAGAAGCACAGCGATGGAGAGAGGTGTTTTCCGTGCAGTGGTGAGGAGAGGAGCCCGCAGACCACAGCTCGCAGCCTTCTGGCTGTTATGTGGCTTCTCACGGATGGAGGCAGAAGCAACGATTTCTTTGTAAGTCAGAACGTTTTCTGTGCAGGTGGAAGCCGTCTCCTTTGTCCGGGTTTGAGAGCACCAGGAAACTTTTGCCCACCTGCTCTCAAACCAGGACGCTCCTTGAGGACCTTGAACGTTTCATGATACTTAATGCTAACTTCAGAATCTCACCTCTGTGTTGTGTAAAGCCGAGGTTTACCAGGAAGGGGATGAATATGCTTTTTCTCGACATTCCCTGACATAAAACGGCTGAAGCTGTATGTCTCCTCTTAGGAAATGAGGTCATTGTGTAATCCTGCTGCAGCTGCCAAAAATATTCATGAGACGAATCAGCCCCTTGTGATGCCAGTTAGCTTGACAGCAGGGTCCTGCCCTCTGGCTATTTCCGTTTGTCTCACTTGTAATGTGATCACTATAGCTTTGTCTTTCCC